TTTTTAATTTTTTTTTAATGTTTATTTTTTTTTTGAGAGAGAGAGAGAGTGTGTGAGCAGGAGAGGGGTAGAGAGAGAAGGAGACACAGAATCGGAAGCAGGCTCCAGGCTCCGAGCTGTCAGCACAGAGCCCGAGGCGGAGCTCGCACCTGTGAACCGTGAGATCATGACCTGAGCGGAAGTCGGACGCTTAACCAAGACTGAGCCACCCAGGCGCCCGAGAACCACTTCTCTTTCTTCATGGTCGTGCCCCCTTTTCCCCTTAATATGATTTGCCTCTTTCGCCAATTCCTAGGAACTGAATGAGTTGAAGGACCAGATTCAGGACGTAGAAGGCAAATACATGCAGGGGTTGAAAGAGCTGAAGGTACCCGTTCGTGGAAGTGTGGGCTTATGGTATTAACCCAGCTTAACCTTCGGAAATCCCAAAGACCTTCCGACTGCATGCCTCTTCCCGGGAGCCTCCGGACTGCAGAATTCCAAGCGGCAGGGACGCCGGTGTGGGCTCGCACCACGTGCATTTTGAGCGTTCTCCCAAATGCAGCTTTTGAGCCAAGACCTGAACGCCATAACCCTCAGTAGAAAAACTAACACGCTTCCTGATGCACGCTTTGTACTCACTCCCTTCCCCCCGGCATAAGCCCAGTTCTTCCCACAGAAGTGGGCTGTCCGCTTGCAGGAGGGTGTCCGGGTTTCCTTCACGTTCCGCAGCCCTAACCTACAAAGAGCGCTCCCTCCGTTTGCTTCTCAAAACATCTGATGTCTGCCGATGAGGCGTTCCGTACCGCTGTGCTTTTGAAACATCCAAATTATTTGCGTGCTGTAGAATTTCCCTAGTTGAAGCAGTGTCTGAATGGGCACCATCTTGGATTTGAGTAAATACACCCCACTTTTAGAATGTGAAATGACTGCGTTGTGCCCACCAGGAGGTATGCTTGCCACATTCCCTGAAGGTGAGGCGGATAGTGTGGGCTGTGATCTCCGTGAACCTAGCAGTAGATGGCAGACCTCCCCCTTCTTTCTCAGCTCCCCAGAAGGAGTCTGAGTTTAGTATCCTACGAGCACCAGAGGACACGTTGGTTTTAAAGCAACTCCGTAATCACTGGCATATTTGTCACCTCTCTTTGAAAAGAGGGGAAAATTATGACGGGCTCTCAGTGCGTGTGAAAAGGGAGTCACGGAACCAGCTGTGGAGCCACTGGTCCCACCCAAAGTCGTCGCCCTGGTTCGCACGTTGCAGGCAGCACTGGTCTCCGTGAGGCCTCTGACGGGACCTGTCGCACCGGACCGCACAGCGCCCAGCTCCCTTTAGCTCTGGTGGTTCACACCCCGGGGGATTTACTCTCCCCGTTCTGGGGTCACCTGGCCCTGATCTGTGCTCTGGGATGTAAGCACTGGTCTACTCTGTGGCCTGGCCGGCACAGGTGTGAGACACAGCAGGGCCACGTTGATTTTGCAGGCCTCTTTCCCCAGAGCTGTCCTTTCAAAGGAATGCGCTCTGTCCTTCCAGCCCGACCCAGTGAGGCCTGTGTTGTTTGCTTGGTTGGCCTGTGCGTTGAAACCTAAAATTCTGCCGAATCCTTTCCCGCCTCACAAGCCCAGGCAGGGGCAGCCGGCAGCTAGCGGTGGGTGCTCTGTTCTCTCCACCATCACGCACTGGCTCTTTCCTGGGTTCTGGGCACATTTCTTGAGTGATTCCTTCAGAAACCTGTTGAGGGCCCCAAGCTACCGCAGCAGGTACCCCTGAGTGATGAGGTCAGAGGCAGGAGGCCTGCCCGCGCTCAGAGCCTCCTCATCGCGTGTCTCCCTTGTGCTGATGGCCGTGGAAGCCATCTTCCTCCCAGACACAATTGAGAGCCAACTCTCTGAGTTAATAGCTAATGTTCTGAGTGACTAATAACCGATTTGACCAAAGTGAAAAGGGGGGAATTTCTGTGCGTTTGAAATGATCCTGTATTTCTTCTCCTGGTTCATTTGCCCTAAGATTAGGGCTGGATTTTGTTTGTTTTGTTGTTGTTGTTTTCAAAGACCACTCAACTAATCTCCCTTTTATTTTCTTACTATAATTTCAAAAACGTGACATGGTTTCCGCAGGACTCGCTGGCGGAAGTTGAGGAGAAATACAAAAAGGCAATGGTTTCCAACGCTCAGCTTGACAATGAAAAGACGAACTTCATGTACCAGGTTGACACATTAAAGGACATGTTGCTGGAGCTCGAAGAACAGCTGGCTGAGTCCAGGCGGCAGTACGAAGAGAAGAACAAAGTGAGCTTCCGTGTGAGAGAGAATGGTGGAATGTGTGCGTTTGGGATAATGGCGCGTATGTGGAGTGTGTGTGTGTGTTTATGTGTATGTGTGTTTGTACATACGAGTTTGTTTAGTTTATTTTTACTTTTTAAAATTTATTTATTTTGAGAGAGAATGCATGCACCAGTGGAGCAGGGGCAGACACAGAGGGCGAGAGAGAATCCCAAGCAGGCTCCACACTGTGAACACAGAGCCTGACTCGGGGCTCGAACTCAAAAATTCATGACATCATGACCGGAGCTAAACTCAAGAGCTGGGCGCTTAACCAACTGAGCCACCCAGCAGCCCCTGTCATCATCTTTTTCCTTTTTGTTTTTCTTTTTAATTGAAAAAAAAAAATTTTTTTATGTTTATTCATTTTTGAAAGACAGAGAGAGACAGAGCACAAGCAGGGGTGAGGCGGAGAGAGAGGGGGACACAGAATCTGAAGCAGGCTCCAGGCTCTGAGCTGTCAGCACAGAGCGGGGCTCGAACTCACCAACTGCGGGGCTCGAACTCACCAACTGTGAGATCATGACCTGAGCCCAAGTCGGACGCTCAACCGACTGAGCCACCCAGGCATACCTGATCATCTTTTTTTTAATGATGGTCCTCCACTTTTCCAGGAAGCCCAGACATCTGAGAATAAGAATGCCATGCTCTTGGCTGAGGGATTTGCAATAATATTAAAATTAATTATTATAATTATAATATTAATATTAGCATCATGCACAACCTCAGTCTGTAAACTAGAGACAATTTTACTGGGAGATTATTTGTGTGTTTGCATGTAAGATAAAGTCATAACCATGAAAAAAACATGCCTATAAAAACCAGCATGTTTGGTCATAAATGGAGGCTTTAAGATGTTTCTGTGGGGGCGCCTGGCTGGCTCAGTCGGTAGAGTGTTTGACTCTTGATCTTGGGGTCCTGAGTTTGAGCCCCACATTGGGTATAGAGATTACTTAATAATAAAATCTTTAAAGATTGTTTTTCTATTAAACTACATTTCTGGATTTTTATTTTGTTACCTCTTATCACCGACAAGAAATTGTAGATATCAAATCTTTTAAGAAAACGATATTTATTTTCTACTGATTGGAGAAAGTTACAGTTACTCTGTTTAAGGATTAAATACTTTCATTAAGCTAAATTAAGTTAATTTATGATACCAGCAAAAAGTCTGAGCCTATGTTGAAATTAATGACAAAAGACTAATTAGATGTTCTTTGTGGAACATAAAGTAAGGAATACTTGTTTTTCAGATTTTTAGGAATGATTTGGTCTGTCAACCTCTGGGATGTTGTCTGATTTTTCAGAGTTGCTGAGATAAGCAAAATTTATGTTGTGTGTGTCCCTATCTTTTTTTTTTAACTGACTTTGTACCCTAAATCCCAAGGGTCCAAACCAAGCTGCCATTAACACCTCAAAGGTCTCCTTCTTTGACTGCTATAGAATTGATTTAGAAGCTAAAGAAGAATTTTATTTATGAAGTTTCTGGGAGCAAGACTCTGAAACAAAGGAGAAACTTTCCATGAGACCCGCTGCCCTGTTGGAATATAGGAGCAGAGAGAACGTTCTGGGCCCCATGTGTGGGGGAGGACACATTAATGCCTTCCAAGTACCCCTAGGATGTCCTCACTTAGGCATCAGGAAGTAGACCAAGAACCCCCAAATCTAATTCCAGAGAATTTGGATGAATCTGGAATGTTGTCCCAAGCTGGGGAGCAGGGACCGAGCAGAGCCCCCAAAAGGCAGGCCCTTGTCACAGCTAGGAGGGTACGGGGACCCTCGGACTTCAGAAAGTGGACGAGCAGTGATGCCAGGGTGAGAAGTGAAGGTCATGTACCTTCCAGAATAACCCCTCACCGACCTAGGAGATGGACCCTGCTGTCCCCTAAGCTGTCGGCTGTCAGTTGGATACCAAACCGTCCTCAGGGACTGTGCAGCGTCTAAGCTTCTCGGGGACCTCAGAGGAGCGTGCTGCCGGGTCCCTGGGGCGAGGGCGGGGTCGGACTGGGCGATCCTTGTGCTCCCCACCTTTTCCTGTTTTGTCCCTGGGGTGGGGGCCCCGGAGTACAGAGTTGGCCATCCACTTAGTTAGATACGCTTGCCAAAGTAGACCCTGTCTACACCCCTTTTGGTCCCCAGTGTTCCTTGTTGAATTTCAAAATCGGGGAGAGTTCCCTCCGATGTCCGTAGCACAGCCACCCCCCCGCACGGACAGCCTGGGCTGCGGCAGCCCCCCCGGGGAAGGGGCCCCTCCTGGGCCCTGCCGGCCCGTGAAGTGTCAGGGGGCACCTGTCAGATGCACCGGGTCCTCGGGGAGAGCTCACGGTAAACCAGAAAGTGCAGAGAAGTGGGCTCACGTCGCTAAAAGGCCTTGAAAGCTGTGACGGCGGGCACGGTAACAGGTAGTCTCCTCCAAGGTCAGTTAAGTCGTGGGCGCGCGGACTAGGAAGAAAGTGCATTCGCACCACCACGTGCACGGTCAGTCTTTCCCTCCCTGGTCGGTCTTTTCCTCCCTCGTAGGAGTTCGAGAGGGAGAAGCACGCCCACAGCGTCCTGCAGTTCCAGTTTGCCGAAGTTAAGGAGGCCCTGAAGCAACGAGAAGAGATGCTGGAGGTGGGCAGCCCTTCCTGGTTTTCTCTTCTCTTTGTGGCTTAGGAGGGCGTTGCGGGTGCATTATGAAAGTGAACCGTTTTCTCGAAAATCGAGAGTTCAGGCTAATTCTTCATCATGCCTCGCCTAAGGAGAACAGTCCCTTTTGCTGGTGAAGATTTTCATTCCTTTTTGTTTGTTTGTCTGTTTGTTTGTTTAACGTTCGCTTATTTTGAGAGAGGGAGAGCGCATGTGTATGCGTGAACAGGCAAGGGGCAGAGACAGAGACTCCCAGGCAGGCTCCGCACTCAGCACAGAGCCCGACGCTGCGGGGCTCAGTCTCACGAGCTGTGAGATCGTACATGACCTGAGCGGGACGCTTAACCGACAGAGCCACCCAGGCGCCCCGAAGGTTTTCCCCTTTGGTGGCTTTGCGTTTGTTTTGGGAGGTGTGACAGAATGATGGCCCCCTGCGAGGTCCACGTCCTGATTCCTGGGATCTGTGGATGTGACACCTTACCCAGCCCAAGGGACATTGCAGGTGTGATTAACTTAAGGGCCTTGTGATGGAGAATTGACCCTAAATTATCTGGGGGCCCGGTGTTATCACAGGGAGGCAGGAGAGTCAAAGGCAGCAGCGGGGAGGGAGCAGAGGCTGGTGCCTGGGGAGGAAGGGCCGCGAGCCAAGGAACACGGCGGCCTCTGGAAGCTGAAAAGAAGGGGAGGGTACAGCTTCTCTCCTAGAGCCTCCGAAGAGAGTCCAGACCTGCCCTCACCGTAACTCCAGGGCGTAAGACTCATTGTGGACCCCTGAGTTCCAGAGCTCGAAGAGAATGAACCCGTGTTGTTTTTAAGCTGCTGAATTTGCGGTAACGTGTTACATTCGCAACAGGAAACCGATACAGGCTTGGTTCTAATTTTTTAACCTGATCAGAACTTTAGTGCCTCTCAGAATTTCCCCCAGGCAGGATTTCCGTCTGCGCTCCTGCAGCCGGGGACGAGGCGGAGGAAAAGGCTCCTGCGTGCAGAGAGACAGGTCGAATCAGGGCATCAGGGCTGATACCTGCCAGCTCCCTGGGGCTCCCTGGGGCTCCCTGGGGGTCAGAGCTCTCCAGCCCACCCTTTGTCTTCTCGCTTAACCCTTTATCTGCTTTCTTTCTATCTGTTCCTATCCTTCAGGAAATCCGACAGCTACAGCAGAAGCAGGCGAGTTATATCAGGGACATTTCTGACCTTCAGGAGACAATAGAGTGGAAAGACAAGAAGATAGGGGTAGGACTCCCACGTCTGTGCAACTGTTCACACGGGCAGTCCGCAGATACAGTGCTTTGGGTCTTCGGTTTGCAGAAACACTTGCATGAGCGTGCATGTGGCCCCAGGTGACACCAGGTAGTAATACCGAGAACGCACTGGCTTACTCAAGCTGCCGTTAACTCTGAACCTGAAGCTGACTTCCGGGACAGGGGGTGGGCATGTCGTGGACACTCACCGGGCTCTCTGCCTGCATGGAGCAGGCCGGCAGCACGCTGAGATGTAAGGGCGAGGAAGGCACGCTGGGGCAGTTGGACGGGCGAAGGCTCCGGCCTCCTGGAGTCAGTCTCTGTCTGGCGTTTCCCCGGCTTTTCTGAAAGGCATTTGAGGAATCGCAAGGCGGAGGGTGCTGTGCCCACCTATGCCCACCTTGAAATGTGCCCCTGGAGGCCTCAGCCGCCCTCCTCCGTTAATGACAAAAGCAGCCCACCTGCCTTTAGGCGTGATGAGTAGGAAGGAGCCCGCTTAGGGTAACCGCCATGCTTCCTAATGACAGCCGTCTTCCAGAACCTGGCGCCCTCCACGGCGCCAGTGCGGGTCTCCGAGGTGGGAGCACACCATCCGTGCGCGTGCTTCGCGAGGCCATCCCTGTTGTCCCTTCCGTCTCCCCTTCCACGCTCACTCAGGACGTGGAGCGCGTGCGTCTGCTCCAGGACCACGTGGTGTGCATCGGGGACAACAAACGCCGAGCGGCGATGGACAGAAATAGGATACAGGAGCCTCCAAATGTTAATGCCTTTAAAGGGAGCGTGAGGCGCCATTTCTCGGCTGGCGTAAATCCCCGAGGAGCTTATTCTTGGCGTTTTGTCTGTATCTTTAAGCGTATCCTACACAACGCCTTAACCCTGTTGGTGTTTTATGCAGCAGAAGCCTCCTTATTCCCGCTTCAGTCACCTGCTCACCCGTGCGAATCTTCTCTCTCTCTCTCTCTGCTCTGCTCACACTCAGGCTTTAGAGAGGCAGAAAGAGTTCTTTGATTCCATAAGGAGTGACCGAGATGATCTTAGAGAAGAAGTAGTCATGCTGAAAGAGGAATTGAAGGTATGAAGCCAAAGTAGAGTTAAAAACGAAAAAACCCGCGTGACAGCGGATTCCGGGGTTCTCAACAATGACTGCGTGTGCCAACTGGTGTTAGTTAATTTTGTGTCATTGGTTTTAGTTGTGTTTGTTTGTTCTTGGTTTTTTTTTTTTTTTTTAATGTTTATTTTTGCGAGAGACAGAGACAGAGAGACAGAGAGAGAGGGGCAGAGTGCTAGTGAGGGAGGGGCGGAGAGAGAGGGAGACACAGAACCCGAAGCAGCCTCCAGGCTCCGAGCTGTCAGCACAGAGCCCCGACGTGGGGCTCGAACCCATGAACCCGGAGATCATGACCTGAGCCAGAGTCTGGCGCTTCACCGACCGAGCCACCCAGGCGCCCCAGATTTTAGTCCTGGTAATTACAAATCTTAGGTTCACTGGCACTGAAGAGACACATCCAAGGAACACAGGTTCCCTCGGGTCTGTTTACAAGCATATCTGATCCCAAAAGCAGCTCTGATTTCCAGGAATTTTTTGGATTTTTGTCTCACATTCATTAATAAATTCTCCAGGACATTACTCAAAGTTAGAGAACATATGTGTTTCTTTTTATTGAAGACTCAAGTTTAAGGACTTCTCCAGCTGAACAGTGGTGCAGGTGAGGCCCACACTCACTAGACTTTGAGACCCAGTGGTTTGAGGAAAGTCCCACGTCCTGTTTGGGCCAAGTGAAGGGGTCTTCAGCTGCTGGCTGGACACTGAGTTAAGAAAAACGGGCTCCGGGTGGGCCGTTAGCATTGTAGGAGACAGTGTTGGGAGAGGGTATGGCCATGGCCAGTTCCTACATCGGCGGTGGAAACACGTCAGCGTCAGCTGCTTATATTCAGGGGCCAGGGCCACAGCGGTCAACCAGGGGGAACAGGTTCCTATCACTGCTCCTCCCAGGGCTGTGAGCCCAGCACGGGGGCTGCCTCTAAGTTCAGGGAGACAGCCGTGGGCAGCAGGAGTGGTGAGTGAGTCTGAGATCCCTGGTGAAGTGCGCAGCCTGGAGCTGCCGAGCGTTAACTGGTTTTAGAGTGTTTGGCTGTGTGGTGAACGTGGACGGTATTTCCTTTGAGTATAGCCGATGTTCCAGCCATTTCTTAATTCCTTCTTCAGCACGAATTGTACTTATTCCTTTCAGAAGACGCACATAACCTCTTTCTTTATCTCTGTCTCTCTTTTTAAAGAATGCACCCAGGGTTTTAAAAGTGAGGTCACTTGACGGTGATTTGCTTGATGCCCTCCTTCGTGGCAGCCTGCGGGCCACTACGTGCAGTTACAAGGGATGCCTATTAAAAGTGTCTGGTCACCAGCACATTAAGGCATGGGATTGATTGGTGCATGTAAGAAAGAGGTGGCCCTTGGAGGAAGATGTCCCAGATTTGTGTGTGTTGATAGAACGCTTCTGAGCGTGGTGTCTGCTGCTTCTCTGACTCTGTGGAAGTTTCTGGACTTAGTGGAAAAAACAGTTTCTTTTTAATTATCATTAACAAAAACAGAGTTTTAACCTAATATCAGTCAGCGAGTATTACGAGTCTGTTTTTGTCCCCAGAAACACGGAATAGTCCTCAATTCAGAGATCACTACCAATGGAGAGACTTCCGACACCCTAAATAACGTTGGACACCGAGGTCCTACCAAGATAACAAAAGAAGAGTTAAATGCTCTCAAGACGATGGGGGACGGGACGCTAGGTAAGTGCCGACTCTCCTTTGCGTTCTTGTATCTTCCGGTCAGCATTGGTGCACCTTCCATGCATTATTAGAATTGGCGTAATCATCACTGATCAATTAACCATCACCCAGCATGCCATGCGTTCTGTCACTTCATGGGAGTTTCCTTGCCGAGCGGTGCGATCACCCACGTGTGTTTTCTGGCACGCATCTCTGTGCTCACCACCGATGGCTGAAGAATACATTTCTCTTGCTTCTCAAAGCCACCAAGCGAAACTGTGAAACACAAGGAAGATCGTCTTGAACTTAAGGGACCATTTGGGCAGTACTGTTTGCCTCTCCTCAGATATGTGCCAAGTATGGCTTTTAACTTACTGCGTTGCAGATTTCTTGAAAGGTCAGAACAGCCAAGGCTGTAGAGTGAGTGAGTGAGTTAGTTAACGCTGTTTACAAGAACTGCACATTCTACCCACCATCCATTCGGTGTTTTGAGGCCATGAGGTGCCCGCGGACGGCGGCTTGGGGCTTGTGACATACAGTCTGGTTGCCATTCTCAGGTGCCCTAGGTGAGGGGCAAAGCAGGGGGCGGGGGGAACGAGGCGGACAGGCAGCCCCAGGCTGGTAGAGGGGGTGGGAGGGACAAGACAGACAGGCAGCCCCAGGCTAGAGGGTCAGAGTGGGAGTTGGACCTTTACCAACAGGAGTCTGACTATGCCTTCCCCTTTGTCAGAGGTGCTGTCCCTCTGTAGGTCACATTTTGTTTTCTGAAAGAATGTAAATTGGGAAACCCAACAGACAGTAAGAATATTTGCTGCAGTTTGCAAACACCTGCAAAGATTCACCCGTTGAGATTTGTCGTAATACTTGGCTCTTGGATAAGCTTTTGGAATCTGGTGTGCAGCCTTCGGAATCCGGCCAGCAGATATGGCCTCCTTGTCACTTAGGACCAGCCGTGCCCCTGCTTTTTACAGTGAGGCCGCAGGACAGCCAGGGCCCGTGACTTTGAGTTCCACGTGGAAGCTTTCATCCTACTGCCTTACTCATGGAAATGTAGACACCTGTAGGCCCACGCTTCTCAAGACTCGCTTCCTAGGGAGAGTATCTCCGTTACCTTTACAACATAATGCGTGTATGCTACACGCATACAACGCCTTGTGTATAAGTTGCTGAAAGGAGAGAAATGGGTTGATTTCCATCATAACCTTTATATTAGCTCTGTGAGCAGCTGGGAATTTGATCGTGCTGCTCTCGTTCAAATATACATTTTATAAATCTTCGTTCACCATTTAGGACACCAACCCTTAAAGAACCAGACATATCACTTTTATCAGTGAGCTCCAAATGTTTTTTGACCGCAAATCCCCATCAGTGAAGAAGTACGGGAACTTCCCAATATGTATATTTTTAATCTGCATATCTACATATGTATCCGCAAATATGCATATACACATGTACACATACTATTTTATCAATGCAAAGTGTGTGTTATAAAACCCGTGCCCTGATAGACATCTTTAAAGGGTGAAGCAAAACTACCAGAAGTCCTACTAATGTTCCCATTTTGTCTGGGGTGAGTGGGCCCACTGTGGAGACCACCGTGGTAGAAAATTATCAGGCTTTCACTTCATAGCAACATGGCATCTAATACGCCGGGGGTGTGTTTGTTTGGAGAATCTAAACTGTAAGTGTTCATTCCAGAGTAGTAACGTTTTTTTAGTTCGTAATTCTTCAGTTGGTGAATAACTGATCGTTAATTAAGTGGTCGTCTTGCCCTCGAGTGTTGGCCTCTGCTGAAACACCCCCCAGTCCGTTAGGGAACGAAGCAGGGGTGTGTCAGGCACAGGCTGCTTTCTCAGAAACACAGTAATTAGATGGTGGGGGTTGATTTCCTTTTACCTCATGTGAGCTATTTCAGAAGTATCTCCCTTAGGACTGACCAAAGGTTGAATTTCTTCAGGTGAATTGCAGGTTTCAGATGACTTGAAGGGGGTTTTAGAGCCACGTGATGTGCAGTGCAGGTGGACAGCTGAGGAAGCAGGAGTAGCCCAGACGCGTGTTTGGAAATGAGGAGAGGGAACGGGGACTGGAGGTCGTTCTTAAGCCCCTCATTTGGGATTGTTTGGCTGCCTGATCCAGAGCTCTATCTGTTAAACCTTAACGGCACCCTTTGAAAACCAGTTCACACGAGATGGCACCAGCCGCCACTCTTGCCTTGAAGATGGCGGCAGTGGCCCTCGCTGATCAGATGTTGGCTGACGCAATGGCTGCTTGGCCGCACGGAACTGGCAAAGGCTTCTGTTTCATGTGATTCTCTGGCGATTCTCTCTCCTTAGGAACGGGGTCGGGTGGGAGAGAGAACACGTGTTTACGCTGTAATGTGTGTTAAGCGGTCGCCACCTCACGGGGTCCCTTCAATTTTCTCAATGGTCTTTTAGGAAGAGCCAGTGAAGTGGAGGTGAGAAGCGAAATTGTGGAGAATGTGGGGGAAAAAGGAATGTTGCAGAATACTGAGCAAGAACAGCACACAGAGGACCCAGCACGGGAGCGTGCGGACACAGAGGTGTTCCATGCCGGTGGAAATGCCGAGGACCAGAAAGCCTCTGAAGACAGGGCCCCCTCACTGGGAGTCTTAGCAGATGAGGAACCCGTTCCAAACCAGAGTCTAGAGAATGCTTCCTTTCTTGAAAACACGGAGCAGGTTGAGTCCACACCAGACGACAGGACTGGGGCTTCTCTTGAGCGGTCCGACTGCTTGGGTGAATTAGATGGTGAAATCCCAGGTCCTGTGACTCAGCAGGACAGTTACAATGCCTTGGATATCAACAACCAAAGTAAAGAATCTGCAGAAACACAGGAAGATTTGAAAATCTTGGGAGAGGGTAGCACAGAGCCATGTCAAGAATCTGCATCTCCACAAACACCTGAAATTGGAGAGCTGGGCAGTGTAGACATGGGGGAGCGAGGTGGGAGCCCCACAGAGGGTGTGGTGGAGGCAGGGCCAAGGGGGCTTGGGGAGCAGGTGGGCACAGTAGCCTCCAGACCTCCGAGGTATAACAGTGACACCGTGAGTGATGATGAAAAGTACGCGGTAGATGTCCCCACCGAGTTGGACCCGAGCTCAGGGCATGACCTAGAGAAAGAGCCCGCCACGCAGGAAGTTGCTGAGCCCAGGGAGCTCCCAGTTCAGAGCACAGCGGTAGGTGAGGAGAGTGATGAAAAGGAGGACGAGGAAAGGGGGCCGAGGGATGAGAAACCGATCCAGACGGAAGTGCGGAACGTGCCTTGTTGTCCAGCAGCCGAAAGCAGTCCTCAGGGAGCAACGGATGTAGGTGTGGCAGACACAGAAAGCGAGCCCCCAGATACGAAAGAACCCGAGGAAGAAAAGAATGACCAACAGGGAGAGGCACTGGATTCATCCCAGAAGAAGACGAAGAACAAGAAGAAGAAAAACAAGAAGAAAAAACCACTGGCGCCTATGGAGACCCTGAAAGATGTTAAGAAAGAGTTAACATTTCAGAACCCAGACTTAAGTGAAGTTAAGGAAGAAGAGCAGGTAAAATCTACTGACGAAAAACCAGTTGTAGAAGCACAAGATGAGGTCACTGAAAGCCCAGAAAAGGAGAGTGTAGCAGGAAGCAGTGAAAATGTTGATGGTCCAGAAAATCCTAAAATTGAGTCGGATGAAAAACTTAACCAAGAAGATGAGGACGTAAACACTAAAGCGGGGAAAGAAGCAGCCGATGGCGACACATCGGGGTCGGGAGATGACACAGCCCAGTCATCAGGCGCGATGAAGGAGCCAGATGAAGCCGTTCTAAAAGATGGCGCTGAACAAGACGGCGCCACCCGCAGCATTCCAGAACCAGGGAGTCCAGAAGCGTCCGGCGGCACCCTGCTGGAGAATGAAAGCCCCCTCGGGGACATCGACGACGCGTCTCACACGGGAAGCACAGAGCCGCAGGAGATGACGGAATGTGCCGGTCAGGTAGCCCGGAAGGTTGTAGAGGATGAGGATGACCTAGCACCCGCAGGAGAGCCGGGAGCCTCCGATTCAGAAAGCAAAGACCAGCCGAGAGGCGGAAGCGAGAAGGGCAAAAGCAAAGAGGACTGCACCCTGTCGTAAGTGGAGTTGAGGCTGGCTGTGGAGGGGCCAAGGACTGCACAGTAGGTCCAGCTGTCAGAGGCTCATCTGCTGTTAACACTGGCGAGGCTCCTAAAACGTCCCCCGTTGATTCAGACGCACCATGTGACAGTCAGCCACCGAGCTGTCTACCACGTTGAGTTATAGACTGTTACTTGGGGGTGGATACTTCCTCGCGAAGCCTGTCACCCCGATTAGAAAGAAAGACACGCTTGTAATCAGTATGCGTTCCAACTGAGAGCACTCCAGTAGTGTCTCTCATAACACTTCGTATTTCTTCTTAAATTCCACCTAAAGCTATTTAGCACTTGCCTTAGGCTGATACTCGTGACCAAATCTGTCGGCATACAGTTGACCAAATGGCATTCTGAGACTTCCATATTGTAAGTACAGTGATATTTAAATTGATTTGTCGCATTCAAACGTGTGCTTTCATACTTGATTTTGATGTGTACGTTATGACCTATGAGGTATTTTATTTTAAAAGGAAATAAACGGCCAAATAGCGTATAGGTCACTGAGTGATAAGATTTGCACCTTAGGACAGTAATGCATCATGTTAGGGATAAGAAAGCACTGGGAGATCTCCCTTCCCTTTACCGCGTTTAAATATTTTATCTCAAACCAATAACCTTTTGATCTCATTGTTAATGATACCTGAATTTGTTTTGTAGATTTTGACCTCACTCTGTGCTGATCATGTACCAAAGCCATTTTATACAAAGATTTTTTTTTTAATTTGTTTCTGGAAGAGACGTACATTGAAATTGTATTTCCTAATGCGGTATTTGGGGGTGGGGGGGGACCATTTCTAAAATTTTTTAGGTTTTCTTAACCTTAAAATTACTTCTCTTTCTATTTGTCTAAGTGTTACTCAATCCAAAAGGTGACCGTTTTTGTGCAAACTGCTCATTGGACTGTAACGGGATATTTTAAATAGAGAATCACTTTTGGTGTTTTGGTATAAATATTTTCCTTTGCTGTTTCTCAGTATATTCTTATTGGAAAATTCTTGATTTGATCTTCCTGAAGGAAATCTATCTTTTCTATACAAGGAAGCCTTTTAAAAAGTAATTGTAAAGTTAAATAAAAAATATTGTGAAATGTTAAAATTACAAAGGACTGTACATGATGAATGCTGTTGACACTTTATGAGATTATATGAATTCATGTCACTGTTACAAGATATAATTGAGTGCAAAAAAAAAAAAAGACCAGAACCTCAATAAAATTTGAGGCAAGTGTGTTATTATGTAACTGAAATAAAAAAAACGAACATTTTATAAGTTGACAAGCCTGTGACTCCAGTCTTTGGCCTGCTTGAATTCTGACTGCCTAAATATGGTCTTAAAAGTAGTACCTACTTCTGGACTGCTGATTCCCAGTCGGCCTTGTGTGAAGGACTCATGCTTGATCCTCTTTGTCAGTAACGAATCAACTTCTCTCCGGGCCCCTAGGCCAGGGCCAGTGTTGGACCTTCCTGGGGAGAATTGAGAAGATCTTCCCTCATAGACTCCCCTGTGATCTGTGAGTCTGGTGAGGAACCCCATTCTGTTAAGAAAGCTCTCCATTCTGTTACTGTGTTGACCCATCCCAACACTTAGAATGTTTTGAAGACTATGGTGGAAATAAACATTGACTCTTCGTGTGTAAGTATCCTGAAGTCGGGGACTGATAAGCCCTATCCACCTGTGCCAGCTACGTGGACAAATACAAGGCTTGCCAGAGACTCAAGTCCAAGGGCTGCAAAGAACTTGAAAGGGGGTCGGCAGCTGCCTGTAACTTCAGCAAAGCCGCATCCACCCTGGAATGCACGTTTGCGAGCAGTTCTCATTCCTACTTCCAAAGGCCCCTGTGGAGGTGATTCGACAACCAAACTCACTAAATGGTGAGATCATCCAACCATTTTAAGGGCTTTCTTGCCTCTGTTACTCAACAGCATATGTAAGGGCACTGTGCCGTGCTTCATACCCCTCAGACCAGCTGTCCAGGGGTCTCGATCATCCACTCACTCATTTAAGTAATGGACTTTTTGATCACTTCATATCCGGAAGCACTGTGCCGGTAGACAGGCAGATACGAACCAGCTCCTAGTGGACGGGGACAGCTGAGAATCAGCAAGTGAGCAAAGAAAGAAGAAAGGGATTCTGAACAGCCAACCCATTTCTTGATAATCTAAGAGCCTTCAGTGTGAACATCAGTGACCCTGCTCCAAGGGGGAAATGACATTGTGGCACAGCGATTGATGTCCACAGGAAGGCCCTTAAAATTACCAAGAAATCGTTACCGTAGGTATATTCAGGTCAGGAATGCACAGAGGCATATGAGGCAATTTGGAAAGATTCCGAGTCAAAAGATTGACTCAGAAAAGAATGGAAAGTCTACCTGTCAGCCCCATCCCCAGAGCAACCCAGGCCCCTGAGATTTCAGTACGATCCAGAACAGGGGAAAGCGCTGATCACTGATACCTTAAATCAAAAAACGAGAATATTTACCAGCCCCAAACCAGAACATACCACTGTATATAAAATGGAACTCTTCCTTCAAAAGCATAATTAAGTGTAATTATGAGTATATACAGAAAACAGGGAAAGGTAACAGAATTTTGAATTATGGGCTATTACGATAGAGGCTGAGAATCAATAAATTTTTTTTCAAGAGTTTTTAGGAATGAGATGTATTGCCCTGAGTTTTGGTGAACAGAAAACCTGAACATTTACGTTTCCACGGTCACGAGGACCCTGGAGTGTTGGTTCTGGGAGTTCACACAGATAGACTCCTCTCCTAGGAGACCACCTTGTACAGCACGCCATCGAAACAAGGAACACCTCAGGGAGATTCCTTCCAAATGTCCAGGCTCCGGAAGGAGAGGAAGGGGTGTTTGTGCCTGTGTTATGTTAGACTATATGCTTATTCAGTGTGATGATTGTATATAGCGAAAGCTGTGTCTTTTAGGAGGAAGGCTTTCACTCACTCTTTCCTTTTCATTCTATCCACTGTGCCTTTTACAGCAAGGCTTACATTTTTTTCAAGATGTGAATGACCTCGGTGGTGGCTGATGTATACAGTTCCCATCTGTACAGACCTCTTGGGCCTGTAAACACGGGGAAAGACCTTTCCCTGTTCTGCCTTTTGCCGGAAGGAGAGGCTCTCTTGGAGGGACCAGGGGGAGGCTGGCCCCAGGGACGGTGAAAACTGTCCACGTGGGTTATAGTCCCAACTAAGTCAGTGCGAGGCAGGAGTGGTCTGGGAGACCTCAGCCTCCTGCTCACTCCCTTTGCAAATGTAGAGGGGAGGTGGCTTGTCCTCTGCTGTGGGGAGAGGAGGCCTGACGCCCACGACAGCTGAAATTAATCCCCACAAGGGAAATTATGCTCCCGGTCGTGTATCATTATCCCCCCTGCGACCCCGTCTTCGTTTGCTCTCTGAAAATGGAATCGGAACCCGCTCTCTTGAGCTGTGGGCCAGATCCAGGCAAAGCAGCACAGAGGAGGAGGGCTCGGGGACAGTGGTGGCTGCCTGTGGTTGACAAGGCTGTACCTGGACAGATGGGGTGATGATGTGCAGGCCAGAAGAGTGACCAAGGAGAACAGGGGTTCAGAGACTTCGGGAGCGCTCTACACTGGCCGCCCCCTGTCCCGAGACCTTGTCACTCTGAGTGTTTTTCATTTCACGGGTCTCTTAACTTGTGTACCGGAAAGCTTATTGGAGTTTAATAGAAAAACCCGGCTTTTTTTAAAAAAATTGAGACCTTTTAATAGCCAACTCATTTGACTTCTCTGTTTAAGAGAAGTCTGAAGTTGAAACACCGTGACTTCGTTTTCTTTGATGCCTGGTTTCTAAAAGCTGCAATTGTGGTCTTGAAATGAATGGTTTACGTCTATTTGTAACTGAGTATTATGGGCCAACGATGAGCAGTGACACTTGGTAAATACAGGGTAAAGGTGGCTGTGTGGTACTCTGGTTAAGGATTCCGGTAAGCATACCGACGATGCCCCACTGTGCAGTCAACAAACCAGGCTTGGTTTTTAAACCTGCAAAAAAAAAAAAACTGTGGAACTGCAAAAAGCTGTTTCGTCTTCTTCATACCAAATTAATTTGCACCTTTCTCTCTTCCGTTCTCTTCGAACAATTTAGTTTTTAAACTTCCTCTCCAATTCTGCTTCCAAACTTTTCTTCCTTGAAAGTTTACTTCTCTGTTTCCATATTCTCGCCGTAAGAGTGAAGGTCACGTTACCCTTATTTTTTGTTGGCTGGTGCTATTGTTAACATCTTAACCTTGGTTTTGTACTTGCTACCCAGGATATTTGGAGTCTTCTAATAGAAAGAAATATCGTAATAAAAGCGCACAATATGTAGGTGAGCTTTAAGATCATGTTCAAGTATATCCAGTGCCTCTTACGATGCCTACGGTTTTTGTATATAGACCATAAGATAAAAAGTAATAAGTAATATTGGACGAAGAGCTGAGTTTACATTTCATTTCAGCGTTGGGTGGGCTTGCGGAATAGAAAGCATAAGATATCAGAAGCAATTTGATTATGCACGTTAAAATGGAATCCAGAAGATCATAAATTTATGGTTGACATTTCTGGTTTCAGTTCTTTTGTAATTGAAAATAACAACTTGGGGTGTTTGGAAAAACAACTTAGAGAAAGCGTGTAACTTGGGCAACCATGTGAGATAGGTGGTTTTTTTTTTTAGATGCAAACAAATTGCATTTTATACAGATTATTTCCTTTTCACGTGGTGAGTCAGAGCTGCGCAGTGTGAGAGCAGTGTCCCCTCGGGAGTAAGAGTCTGGGGCCAGGAGTCGGGCTCCGACACCGAGGTCCCGGTTTAGATCTGGAACAACAGAGGAGGCCTCGGTGAGGGGTGTGGCCCTGAGGACAGTTCTTAGCTGTTCTGCGCCGCGGGTGCTCACCTGTAGAAGAGGGATGGAGTATTGAGGCACACCCGTGGGGCTTTGCGGGTGAAGGCACACCTGCTCGAGCCGAGCGGGGACACAGTGACCGTGCAGGACCCGTTAGCATCACTGTCACCATTGCACCATCCTGATTTGTCCTTTAAAGTGGTGTAGGGTTTTGCCCAAACCCAGCCCTTGGTCTCCTCCTCTGTATTCAAGATCGTATTCCTCAACGCCCCTTCAAAGAAATGGTTGGGGATGGATCCTGAGATGCTTCTGTCTGGGGTGGGGGAGGGTGACGGGGACCTGGAGCGTTACCGCGTCTGTCTCGAGACCGTATCCGCTCTTGACGAGCGGGTTAGCAGACTTAAGGTTCGTGGACGTGTAGTCAGAGCTCTGACACTGGTGGGCCTGTGAGAGAAAAGAGAGGAAGAAATTCTCCTGGGATATAAACTCGGAAAGTCAAGGACAATGAAAATGCCACTGACATGAACCACGATGCCCAGTGCGTTTGTACCTTGCTAATGATGTTAAACCATGAAGCCTGTGAGATCTTGTGTTGCAGTGTGGTTACTCTTGCATGTTAACCCCAAGTAGAAGATTAGCCTGTTTGCATGCAGCCGGATGCTACCCATGATGACATAAGCATGTTGTAGGAGGTTGACCCAACTCAACCTCCCTCGGCTGACGTCCTCCCCAGTCCTGTCTGTGGCCTCATTCGCTGTGGTACGTGCATAATACCTTCATCATTCGTTTCACTAACCTCAATGCCCATTCTTCGGTGTAGCGATCTGCTGAAAGGTACGCTCCGCGGATCCACCTCAACCTGTGTCTTTTTGGTTTCTTTAGATATTAGGTTGAAAAAGCTTGTTGATGAACGGGAATGCTTATTGGAACAGGTAACAATCTTTTTATTACTTTATGCGCTCTGCGGGGGCGGAGGGGGGCACCTGAATGTCTCCCTTCGTCGGGAAAACCCTAGCACGTCATGTCTGCAGATGACCAAGCCAACCTGTGTTCTTGCTATTTTTATCCAAGTAGGGCATCCTAGGTCATGCGAGGTGTAGAGAGGACGTCCCCAAAGACTCAAGGCCACAGAACTGAATTTGGGATGCTCCATGCAAATTGCTACTTAAAATAAATATTTATGTGAAGAGCCTAGATTAGCCATTGAGGCAACGAGGCAAGAGCTCTACTGAGTCACCCCAGACACCACTTCTCTCACTTCCGCCGGCTCAGAGAAGTCGGTTTTGGGATCTCTGGGCGATCACCACCCCTTTCCGGCAGATGTTCTCTCGTTCCAGCCGATCAAAGTTGTTTTAATTGGGGTTTACCTTCATGGCTCTCTTCCACCCCCGGAAACACTAACCAGCTGTCCCATTTGGTCTTTTTTGTATGCAGCATAGTTCTCAAACCCTGCCACAGTCCCTTTCTAAGGAAACTCAGTTCCGTTTTCCTTCATGAGCGCAATCAAAGGTATTTTTGCCTTACTTGTGACAATTCTCTTGAAGAGTTCCCTCAAAATCGGGGAAGGCGCTCAATGTGGTGGCAGCATTGAGGTTCCTTTGATCTTTTAAGAACGTGTATCCATCGCGATTCTGTACTTATTTTCTCAGAGCAGAGAGCGCCAACGGTCAGTATGGGGCGGGGGGTCTGATTTGCTGGTGCTGGTCGCTCGGGGAGGCGGGGTCCCCCAGGTCCCCCAGGTCCCCGGGGGATGGAGGTTAACAGCACAAGGGCTGGGAGACTCCCCTAGACACCGTAACTTTCTGCAGTCCCGGCTGCTGACTGCATTTCCGGCTCTACCTGGCTCTCCCCGGGGGGAGGAGAGCTCTGCAGGGGCCAGCTCCTTGAAGGTGGCACCCCTGCACCTCGACCGGGCTCTGTGCGCGACCACACGGTTCTGCTGGTGACACGATGACAGTCTTTCTGTGCCTGGGGGCATCCAGAAGGTCCTTCCTGGCTTCTTAGTGAATAAAGAAAAGGCGACCCGGCACACCGACTTCCTAACCCTTAGATAAACACTTCAAGTGTTTTATGTACCATCTCCTCCTGAACTCAAGAGGAATTTCAAACTTAGAAATAACCTTTCACCCCAAGCTACAAAATAACGTATGTCTGATATTGTAAATCTAATTCCATTTTCACCCATTATGCCATCACTTTCTGAGAAAAGCACTACCCGGCCAAAGTTTTTCATTTACTTGGTTTGGTTATTAGAGAGGAGAGACTCCCTACTACAGGTGGCTGGTAGATTATAACCTCTTACTACGTTTTTCTGGTACCTCGTCACGTAACCCCTATTCTTTGGCACCTTGCAGACCCATGGAATAACTCCAGAGCAACATCTGATTGTATTTATGGGGTATTGTTTCTTTACACTCTGCTTCCTTCCTGATAGGCTCTAAGCTCAGCTTTTCAGTCTCCTTGAGAATAGAGAAATTCACCTATTTTGTCGGTGGGTGTTTTCAGATTAAGAAACTCAAAGGGCAGCTGGAAGAGAGACAGAAGAATGGCAGGTTAGACAATCTGCGTCCTGGAGATGACGTCTTAGAAAACGGGACAGACGTGCATGTAATGGACCTACAAAGTAAATGTCAACCCTTGTGTAGAAGTGAATGCTTTACGTGTCCTATTTTTATCATATTTGTGCTGGAAGAGAAAAACCATCCTCGCAAAAAAAGCCTGGTGTCCCCCTTGGCTGCCCCCAAACCCTTGAGCACAAGAGTGCAAAGAAGTTTCTGTGTGGGATTGAACAAGGATGGGCAGGTGGGTGGAGCAAGGATGTTTCTGTCTGAGCCTCAAGAGTAGAACAGGTGCGCCAAGATAGCACCAGGTGGCGCCCCGTGAGAAACCATATTTCCTACGCTGGATACAACTGCCTTTTTTTTTTTTTTTTTTTAATGTTTATTTATTTTCAAGAGACAGAGACGGAGCGTGAACAGGGGAGGGGCAGAGAGAGAGGGAGACACAGAATCCGAAGCAGGCTCCAGGTTCTGAGCTGTCAGCACAGCTTGAACCCACGAACCCCGAGACCATGACCTGAGCCGAAGCCAGCCGCTTAACCGACTGAGCCACCCAGGCGCCCCGACATAACTGCCTTTTGATCAGCCTGTTGTATGGAAAAATTCAAAGGCGTTTTTCTATACACGTAAACCAGAAAGAAGCTTAAAGGAGATAAAATGACTCCCAATCTCCCCCGCCCCCCGTGTGCCCCACCCCTACCATTTCTCTGTCCTCTGTGCCCGCAGGTGCTCTCCTGCCTGGCACTTGCCATCCTGGGCTCCTGGAGAACCCGTGCCTTCTCCTGTCTCAGCCCCACCAGGTGTGGGGCCACAGGCCAGGACTTAACAGATTTGCATGCCGGTTCCTAAGGAAGGGCTTGGTTCCCAGTAACTATTGTTTCAACACTTTAAAAAGCCCGAAGAGCTTAACACGTGTTCCTTCTCTCTCACCCTTTAGGGGATGCCAACAGACAGATCAGCGACCTCAAATTTAAACTTGCAAAGTCTGAGCAAGAGATAACAGCATTAGAACAAAATGTACGTGCACACTTTTAAGCAATATTGGGCAGAGTGACAGTGATGATTAAGCAGGTTGTACTTGCTAGAGCTCGCTCGGAAAGGCTGAGCACCAAGAGGCGCAGACAGATTTCTAGAACCAAAAAAGGTCCTCCGTGTATTTCCTGCAGAGAGAGAGTAGGGAAGGGAAGATCACTATTAGGATTCGGGCTGTTGTAACGGATACTAACCCTTTATAAACAATGCTTGGTTGTAGAAAATCACTAAAGTGGCTGGGAAGTTTTTAAAGCTTGTTCTTTAAACATAATTTATTTAATATTAAAACACTTCACGCAGCGACATTACTCTTGCCTGGATTTTTCCGTCTTTCTCTCCCAACCAGGTGACTCTCTCTGGTTCCTAGATTTGGGGTATTCATTGCCTCCAGCATGCTGGGCAAATTTGGGGCAAACTGCGTCCTAACCAAAGGGAGAGTTAAAAATGGTACTCTCTCCCCCTCAGTTATGGGTCTGCGTGGCTCGAACTCTGGGGAATGTTTGAGGACAGAGAAGTGAGAATGGCATCCCACGGAAGGAGTTTAGGAAGCATGCTGTGGCCTCCGTGGACCGAGGGTCTCTGCTGGGCCGTGGCTGCTTCTGTCTCTCGCCGCAGACCTGGCTGGGGACTGCCATCCCAAAGCCTCCGACTCCTCCCCTCCGGCTATTTCCTGGGCTTTCCTTCTCCCCTGCCACCTCCACACCATGCCACCCCAGGAGACACTGGACCAGAGCTGAGGTCCTTTGCCTAAGTGTCATTCTGCATCGACCTGCCTTCTCCAGCAGGATGGCCCCAAGCAGGGAAGGGGACAGCAGCACTGTGGGAGCCACCCTTCTGGACCAGGGGTCAGAGAGGGAATGAGGCCCTAGCAGGTGTCAGCAGGGGGGTGCTCCGAACAGCTTGCTTGGCTGGAACCTACACGATAGCCCAACATGCTAGATCATACGTTTGCATCGTCTGTCCCCCCCTCCATTCCCTAAGCCACACCCCTTGGTCTCACATGTGATAAAGCAACTGGAGAAAGAAAACAGGCCTATGAATTTATACATACGGTGTTTCCCTTCCTTTTAGGTAATAAGGTTAGAGAGTCAAGTATCACGTTATAAATCGGCAGCCGAAAACGCCGAAAAGATAGAAGATGAACTTAAGGCTGAAAAGCGGAAACTCCAAAGAGAGGTAAATTTTCTAGGCTGTTTCCCGGGAGGGCGGGACAATTGTCCAGCTGGCAGCGCGGGGCGGGGGGAGGGGACATCTGCCTACGTCACGGGGAGCCTGGGGCCAAATCACGGTCATCCTGGTACCACCCTCCGTGGGGCCGCCTTCTCAAGGCTGCCGCTGAGAGTCTGTCTGTCCTTCTGCCCAGCCGCCTACAGACGAGCTTCTCTCGAGTTCTTTGTGTCTTTGATTTTCTACGACTTCACCCCAGTGTGCTGTGTGCAGGCTTCTTGCTGTTTGTTCTGCTGGCTCAAGGGCATGTGGTGTTTCCTGCATCCATGAAGCCTATTTTCTTTTTGCTTTTTTTTTCTTTTACATTTATTTCCTTTTGAGAGAGTCAGAGCACAGTGGGGAGGGGCAGAGAGAGAAGGAGACACAGAAGCTGGAGCAGGCTCCAGGCTCCGAGCAGGTGTTCGGCACAGAGCCCCATGTGGGGCTCGAACCCCCACAAACCGTGAGATCATGACCTGAGCGGAAGTCACTCAACCGACTGAGCCACCCGGGTGCCCCCAGGAAGTCTTTTTTCTAAGTCAAGTACGGAAAGTTTGCAACCATGACCTCCTTAAGTATTCCTCTTCCCTGGTGTGTCCGCTCCCCCGCGGGGGGTCCAACCCGAGGCCAAGGCCGGCTGGCGGACCGTCCCTGCAGCCCGCGCATTTCTTAGCCACCTGACCTTGTACTTCCCACTTCCTGGCTGCGCTGGTGACGAATCTTCCCGTTCACCTTTTCTGGTTTTAAAGTGTATTCATTCCTGATGCTTTCCTGTTGTGTGGTCACATGTGGTCCTGCTTCTTTGTTAACTGTATCCTTATTTCTTTAAAGATGTCATACACGGGGTTGGGGGGAGGTTCAGTCAACTGAGCGTCTGACTTCGGCTCGGGTCATGATCTCACGGTTCATGAGTTCGAGCCCTGCATCAGGCTCACTGCTTTCAGTGCAGAGCCTGCTTTGGATCCTCTGTCCCTCTCTCTCTCTCTGCCCCTCCTCCACTCATGCGTGTGCGCTCTCTCTCTCTCTCTCTCTCTCTCAAAAATACACATTAAAAACAAAGATGTCACACACAGCTGTTCCGTTTTCCACATCTGAGGATGGATTCGTGTCTTTGAGGGCCTGACCCTGTGGTTTCTTGCTTCTGCTGGTCAGATGGCTTGTCCTTCGTGCGTTGGGTGTCTTGTGAATCTATGCTTGATCGGCATTTGTAGGAACACCCCAGGCCAGACTTGGGGAAATTTCTTGCCGAGAGGGCTTGCCTCTGCCTCTGCCCTTGCCGGTGAGAGGGGACGCAGAGGGGGCTAACCTCGGGACCCCAGCCCCCCTCCCTGGAGGTTTTGGATCAGAAGTAGGGCTCCACACCCTGTTCCCACAACGCGTGTCTGCACGACCGCGTGGCTGCTGTACCCGCTCCCCCGCCCCCTCCTTAGGGCACCTGCACCTGCCTGCTGGTCCACGTGGCTCCCTGCTGTTGGGGCTTCCGTCTGACTCCCAGTCTCTGCGGCCCTGGCTCCAGGACAGACCGCCTTGGCCTCAGGCGTTCCTTTCTGGTTGCAGAGGCCTTGCTGCCCAGGCTGTGGGGACCGACTCCCGCAGCCGGCCTGGGCCCCGCTCTTCTTTCTCTGCCTCCCTTACCTTTTGTGAGACCCTCAGGACTCCCAAGACCGTGTCATAGGAGTCTGGGGCCAAGTTGTTCCAGAGGATGACTGTTGCCTAGTGACTCACGAGGCCAGAGTCTTGTCCTTTGTGTTACTTAAGGAATCGTTCAGAAAAATACGTCCACGCACAGATGCGTACGTATGTACCTCGAGGACCTCAGTGGGTCCGGGCTACGACCGCGTTTCCCAGTAGGATGGAATCTGGGCGACCCTTTTACGTTTGGGGGAAGCGGGTTCCTCAGAGCGGCCTTTCCTCTTTGTTTGCAGCTGCGCTGCGCGTTGGACAAAACCGAAGAGCTTGAGGTGAGCAACGGCCACTTAGTGAAGCGTCTGGAGAAGATGAAAGCAAACAGGAGTGCGCTGCTGTCCCAGCAGTGAGCACCAGCCTTGCACACGAGCCTGGGCGGCGGACGGCGAGCGCTGTTTCGCGGGCTTGCCTCTGTCGCCGTCCGGGATTGCTGCTTCCTCCCCTGCTTCTGAGAAGGCCCGCCGGGCACTCGGCTCCCCTGCTCGCCCGCGGGAGCCCCCGCGGCCACCAGATGCCTCTGTCTGCGGCCCCCGCCCCCCCGGCGGGGCCGCCTCTCCGAACCTGCAGGTCATTTTAACGAGCACATCGGGCCCACTGGAGCTCCGGGCTCCCACTGAACGTGGCAGTCGAAGTAAAGGCTAAACTGGGACTTGGGTTTTCTTTTCCTGTGTCTTGCTGAAAATTGAGGGGAAATGTCACGGTGTCGGGACTTCCTTTGGGGGCACAACCTACAAATGTGAGCGACTTCAGTAGTATCTCTTAGTCTACGCTTTTCGTACACAAAACACTGTGGAACCACAAGCCATTACCAAGCGAAACTCTTCTCACTCGAAACAAGGGGATGGTCTAGAAGTAAAAGTGACCTTAAGAAGACTCTTCACAGGCAACAAATGAAGCTTTTCTAAGGGATTTTTGCATCGGTTCAATCATAAGGATACTTTTTTCCAGGGTAATTAGGCAATAGCTCCACCGAAAAATGACAGCTTTCCATTTGCATTGTTTAATCCTTATATTTGGAATTGAAGTTGTTAACTTCTTTTAAAGAATGTACTGTTAGAAAAATTAAAACATGAAATGTTGAAAGACTTTAGCCATGTGGTTTGTGTTTTTTTTTCTTCCCACTGAGAAAGAAGATCTTTATTTCATATTAATTGTTCTATACACGTGGGGTCATTTTTTTAAGCCTGTCAAATCAATTAATTTCTCTTGCCCTGTGGAAAAAACAAAGAGTATATTCATAGGAATCGAAGAGCTCACTTCCAAGAATTGGCATTCTTAGAATAAAAAATAAACTGAGGAAGTTACAGGCTAGAGACAACTGTGATTTCTTCAAGGACGGAAGTGGAGAAAGTCTGGCTACTTGCTAATTTTTAGTTACTCTGTGTATATTGCACCTGAAGTCAGCTTGGTGACGCGGGCCACCTTTTCGGGACATTAGCGAGCACAAACCAAGGGTCACCCGAAACTATACCTTGTGTTGACCCTGGGAGAGTGCTGGTGTGGGCGATGTGGGTTGGGCGCCTACGTTTGAGAAAATGCTTCCAGCACGTTGCTGGAGGCCACGAGGGCCCGTCCCCGGCACCGTCTGGGTCCAGGACCCGCAAGGTTATATTGCATCAGGGCATAAGAGGGGTTCGTGCCTCCTCGCGCCAAGGACAGCTTACAGTTCAGATCTCCTTCCTGAGCACTTCATAGATAACAATCATCCAATCCCCAGTCCACGGTTGGTGCCCACAGACCTGGTATAGCTGATGCATGTTCAAGACCAGTATTTGTACAGAAACCTCCTCTTGCGTTGATCCCGTGGAAGCTCCCAACTGTCCACAGCGACGTGGTTTTTACGTTGACCTAAGATTTGTCAGAATACGTTGGTTTTCAAAAGACTTCCGAGTTTGAAATTCTACTTAATGAGCGTTAAGCATTCCGGGTTCTTTCAAGAATGCCATATATCAGGGTCCGGTCCAAAAACAGAAACCACCAGTAATTTGAATGGGGAAAATTTAATATAAAGAATGATCGGCCCACCGCAGGGCATCAACTCCGAAGAAAGGGTGGAAGAGAATTCTAGAGAATGTCCTGGAGCTGAGGGAGAGCACCCAAGAGAGGACAAATTAAGATTGAGACCTCACTGGAGGGCCTGGGGCCACCGCCCATGAGAGGACAGACAAGTCACAGGGCGCCGGGGGGCTGACACCAGGAGGCAGGAAACCGGGGGTCAGGACTGGGGAGCTAACTTTGCTGGAGCGTGAGCACCTCCGGGTGGCCTGCATTGCACACCACAGGCGCTGTGAACGAGAAAGAAGCAACCAGGAGGGGGGAGCCCTGGCTTCCTGCACAGTCTCTCCAACACCCTCTTCAGACAGTAGTGGGCCAGCCGGCAAGGAAGAGATGTTTACTTCATTGTCTTATCCTCAAGGTTTCTTTTCTTTTTATGAAATTTATTGTCAAATTGGTTTCCATACAACACCCGGAGCTCATCCCAACACATGCCCTCCTCGATACCCATCACCCACCCACCCCTCCCTCCCACCCCCCTCAACCCTCAGTTCCTTCTCAGTTTTTAGGAGTCTCTTATGCTTTGGCTCCCTCCTTCTCTAACCATTTTTTTCCTTCCCCTCCCCCATGGTCTTCTGTTAAGTTTCTCAGGATCCACATAGGAGTGAAAACATATGGAATCTGTCCTTCTCTGCATGGCTTATTTCACTTAGCATCACACTCTCCACTTCCATCCACGTTGCTACAAAGGGCCATATTTCATTCCTTCTCATTGCCACGTAGTACTCCATTGTGTATATAAACCACAATTTCTTTATCCATTCGTCACTTGGTGGACGTTTAGGTTCTTTCCATAATTTGGCTATTGTTGAGAGTGCTGCTATGAACATTGGGGTACAAGTGCCCCTCTGCATCAGTACTCCTGTATCCCTTGGGGAAATTCCTAGCAGTGCTACTGCTGGGTCATAGGGTAGGGTTTTTTCTAATTTTTTGAGGATCAAGGTTTCTTCTACAACCGACATCTTAATACAACTATGTTTAACCAGCAAAATATCCACATATAGAGACCACAGATAATAATAGCAAACACACACAGCACTTCCACGGGCCTGGCAGTTAGATACATATTTTCACTGAATTAATTTTCACAAAAACCCTGTGAGGCTACAGACGAAGAGGCCGGAGCCCAAGGACTGGCTGGAAGTCTCGCCACTGGTAAGAGGGGGCTTTGCCACTGGTAAGAGGGGGCTCCCTGTCTCCCCAGTCCTGGGAAGATGGTGTTTCCCAGAACTGCGGCTCCAAACAGGTCAAACCTTCCGTGTCTACTTTCACACCCATCTTTGCAAAAAGAGCAGATCCATTTTATGCACACTTTCTAATCCAGAGGAAGATAGAACATGATTTTCAAATTTATTTCACGTAATATAGCTTCTCCTCAGATACAGCTACGGGAATTTGTTGCCGGCTTTTTTTCTTCCCGGAATTTCTCGAGCCCGCACTACTGACGCCCTGGGCGGGATGGCGCTTGGTTGCTGGGCTGCCGTCCTGGGCATCAGGAGCTGTTGAACGGCATCCCTGGCCTCTGCCCACTGGAGGCAAACGGGCCACCCCAAGTCGTGATCAACAAAAATATTGCAAGCATTGCCAAGTGTCTGCTGGGGGCGTGGGGCGCCAAAGCATCCCCCGTTGAGAACCACAGCTTTAAGCTGAATTAGAAAATTGGAAGAAGAAAAGAGTTGGTTGAAAACCTGGACCAGGATCCCTATTGAATGTGTCCTACAAAGTGTTTTCGTTTTTAGAAACAAAATGGCATTTGGGATGTAGAGAGACCGTTAAAAAAGACATGCTAAGTGGACAATACAAATGGGTAACGTAAGTCAGATGCAATTCAGAGCCGCTGGGAGGTGTTAGTTTCCATCTTTCGTATCTGATTTCGCATTCTGATCATCTGAAATGTAAGCTACAGAATCAAAACTTACTGTTGGTATTTTTGAAATGTTGTTATTATTCAGCAAATACGGATTTCTGCTTTGTGCAGTGCTGAGCTCTTGGGGGACAGCAGACGGATGCCCACCTTAAGGGGGCGGTGGTCCCAAGGAAGAGAATGGCCACACACACTGATAACCACAGAAGAGGGCGGCGTGGGATGGGGTCGGATGCCAGGTGGAGACAGCCAGGTTCAGATTTTCAAACTGGGGCGTAAGCATCTGGCGTGTTTCTCCAAATGGCCAGGCCAGATGGGTGCACATGCCTGTCTGGGTATTTGGAAGTGAGAGCTGCCGTCTGTGGACCTGCCCGGCTCCCTGCACCCGTAGCCCGATCCCCAGCTCAGGGGTCGGGGACTCTGCCCTGTGTCCAAGAGCCTCCAGGCCTAGATTCCCACCCTGTTCCCAGTCTCTCGAGGACTAGGCAGCTGTCCCAAGCCCCAGCCCCACACTTGCCCCCACACTGCCTTTCTGCTGGCTGGTATGATCTCTATGGACGGTCGGTTCCTAACCCCCACTGCTTCCTCCTTTCGCCTCTCTGCCAGAATAGCCCCCATCACCACCTGCCAGGTGGCTCCTACTCTGTCCCCGAGAGCACTGAGTACGAAGCAGGCTCTTCGAGTCCTGAGTGGCTGAGTGTCTCCGTTTGCAGTTGCCCGTCCCCGTGGGTGGCCACCAACCTAGCCTCCAAGCTCCACAAGGACAGAAGTTCCTTTGTTCAAGACCTCACCCGACAGATCTCTTCCTTCATATCTTTTATCATGTCCTTTAATAAGCTGGTAAGTGTGTTTCTCTGAGTCCTGTGAGCCGTGTAAGCGCCCCCCAGCAAATTAACTGAACCTAAAGAGGAGGCCACTGGAGCCTCCAATCTGTAGCCGGTTGGTCAGAAGCACAGGTGACAGCCTTGTGGGGGGTGGGGTGGCGGGGAGAGCCTTGTAGGACTAAACCCTTTACCTGTGGAAGCTGATGCTATCTCCAGTAGATCATGTTAGAATTCAGTTCATGCCTGCTGTGTCCAAAAATTGCTTGGTGTTTTGTAGGGGGGGAGGGGGGGCGCCCACCTTGGCCTTGGTTCCAAGAACGCTAAAAGAACTCCCTAAATCTCAAGAGGCACGTACTCTGTGTTTAGATGTGGGTGCCAGGATAAAGGGGGAGGGATCTTGAGGTTTGTGTTTGCCCCTCACCTCTAGCCTTCTGGGCCCATCACCACCGCCATGAGCACGCATGGAGTCCACCCCCCCTCGCTCCCCCTTGAGCTCTGCGTTTTGAAGACCGCACCCCTGTCTGGCTCTCTTCCGCTTTGAATGAAATGTTGCCCCGTCGCCAATGCTGCGGTGCTGAGAGTTTCTGCCTGAGCTTGTCTTGTAAGCTACCCCAGGGCAAAGCCGCCTTGGCTTCTTGGCTCTGGCCTGCCGGGGGTTTCTCACCTGCCTCACCCAGCCTGGAATTCTGTAGAGCGGTAAT